GGGGGGTGTGGGGTGGGGGGAGAAGAGGGAGAAAGACTTGTTTTCTTGTGTTTGGGCTCAGTTGTTTATTTGTTTAGTCTTCCTTTCTTATCTATATTACATATATACTGAGTACAAGGAGCTATATACACTAGGGTAGCAAGGTGCAAAATGGAGGGGTGAAGAATCTCTCCAAGGCCTTTTATGTGTCCATTCACCCAATAATCAAATGCCAAGTAACTTATTTTCTTTAGTGACCCAATGACCCGACACCTGTGTGCTGCACTGCGTACTCTTTCATCCAATCACTCATTATTACCCAAAAACACTTAGAGGAAGAAGATGAAGAAAGAAGAAGAACAAGGAGAAAGAGACAATGCCCCAAATCCTCCATCTTGTATTTCACATACTAATATAACTAAAATTCCAAACTCCAAACTTTTCACCCAGTGATTTAATACAACTCTATCTAATTCACACACTCACATTCTCAGTTTCTCTACTTAGTTCTAGAAGCTTTCTCTATGGCTTTAGGCTAAGCTCAGTGTTCTCTTGGATGTCAGTCTGTCAGCACAGATAAGGGAATATTTTCTGTGCCTCTGACTCCAACAGGCAAACATAGGTTGGACGTGATGATATCAAAGGTCTTTTCCAATCTAGATTCTGTGATCCTGTGAAAACTGACTAAAGTTATTAAACAAAAATTTTATACTTCGTATATTTTCCAACAGAGGCAATGCTCCCCCCTCCCCGCAACCCCTGGCCAGATGTCTGGAAGTCCCACTGCAACCCAGAGAAGTCAGAGGGTATTTAACGTGAGACACAAGGCAAGAACATATTTTGACCCTCCCTGTTCTTGGAATTTCCATAGGCTGAGCACCATTGGAACCAGAAATGGTACTGTGATTGTTCTTTTCTATTGCTTTTTTGTCTTTCTCTCTTTCCTCTTCTTCTAATTCCTTCCTCAGAATTTTGAGTAATTTAAAATCAGATGGGCTTTGAGTCTATTAAATTGAACAGATTAAATTAATGCTTTGAGAAGTGTTCTGTGTTGACTGGATGCTGCTTGAAAGATTTTGTCAAAGTTCCTTGATTTTCTAAGGTTGTCAGTAAAAGGTTTTTGATTTCTGTGACCTCTTGAGAGTATCTTCTTGGTTTTTCTCTTGCGTGTCTAACTCAGAGTACATGATAAACCAAGGCCCGTGTAAGTGTCACACTGAATGAGATTTTGGGGGCCTTACATTTCAATTGGCAGAACGAGTAGGATACTCTTGAGGTGATGAAGAGGTGTTTTATACAGAGAGAAATACTCCTTGCAGAATAAAGGAGAAAATAATTTTTGGTTGAAACCAATTCTCCAGCAAAAAGGTCATAGAATCCTGGGAAAATACTGATCTGACCTGTTCTCTACTGATAGAATTGCTAAAAGTTTATAAACCTTGTCCAGCCTCATAAAGAAGGATGTGGGGTAAGGAAAACTGGAAAAATCTGCAGTTAGTTTAAGAGAAAACTTGTACTTTGGCAAAAGATGGGGGACAAACCCCAGCAAGTTTTGTAGATACTCCACTGGTATCCATACTGGTGGAGGCTGAACTCAAAGAGAAATATGTTGTGGAGCAGCAACAGAAAGACCTGATTGTGTTGCAAGTTGCCTTGGGGGCTGAAACAATAGCCCACCTCAGGGCAGATCAAGAATGGAATGCCCAGAAGAAGTTAGCCCAAAACCTGAAAAACCAGTTAAACAAACTCGTCCAAAACCAAAGAGCTTTGGAGCCCTTCGGTAATTTGCAGATTAACACTGCTGGGGGAGGTGTTGAGAATGAATTAGTTTTTCAGCCCTGAGGAAAAGGTGAACCTCCTTGAACATGATGTCACAATCCTCAGCCCCTGTGAGTTTAATGCAGCAGAACCAAAACCTCCCTGCATCCTTAACTCCACCCACCTGTAAAAACTAAGGAGGCAGAGAGGGAGGTGGGACTCCCTGAGCCTGATACCAGTTCATTCCACTTCCCTGAGAAGGGGTCTGAGTCAGAAAAGCCAACCCTCCTTTGCTTCCATTCACCCCAAACTCTGCCCGCTTGTAAAGACAAAATTCATTTATCAGGAGGCAGAGTAAGCAGTAATATTTCAGTCTGCAACAGAACTGGTTAAGTTACAAAGGAAAATTTGCAATTGTCCCAAGGAGAATGGAACAGAGAAGGTTTTGAAAATTTCAGTGGCTGGGGTTGTCTTGATTTAAGATAATTTAATGAGCTGGGCACTCTAAAATGAGTAATCTTCTGTGAGAAATGAGCCTCATTCTTTGAAATTTTTAAAGTTTAATAAGGGATAAAAGGGACCTTTGCAGCACTGGGTGCATAGCCATTGCTAGAGGCATGCTGGTTAACTATAACAACTCTTCTTATATACTTTTTCATTGCATTGGTTAAATATGTATTAACAAATATTATACATATTTAAACATTCTTTTGAGTTTTTTTACATGTTCCAGGAATTCCTTAGCTTGGTTTGACCCCTGACCCATCTTCTTTGAGTACGTGCAATAGCATAGATGTGATTTCTGGGAATTGTGTATGCCTTTTCTTCACAAGGTGAATGTTACTCCTCACCATGACTCCTTGTTCGTGGTCTCAGCAAGCGATAATGATTGATATTTGAAAAGGTCAGTGGCAGAAGTCCTCTTCACATCCTTTCTTTCGATGTTATCTGCATGGTTCTTTCAGTGTTATCAAATCATGAAGACAGTTCTAGCTATTTAAATGAACATCAGCTATTTCACGAATTTATCTGAGTTATTATCACTATTGTCAGTTAGTTACAAAAATAAAATCATTAGCTGCTTTTGCAAAAGTCATTACAACACATAGCCTCTGTTTTAATATTTTGCTTAAGCCTAAACTATAATATATGCTTATCACACTAAAATATACAAGCTACACAGGGCCCAAGGCATTTGGCCACAGAAATCAGACGAACTATACTTTATTAAAAGCAGTTAAAAGTGATAACAAACTGTACTCTATCACAACTGTTGTGATTAATAATAATTTGCAAAAGCTGATACATAATAGCAAAAGCCAATAACTACATAGTTATTTATAATATCTTCCCTTAATTCTAACCAATCCTTTTCCACCAATAAAGTAGATTTAGTGAAAAAATGACAGTTCACTAACAAATGGAACAGGGAAAAAATGATGGTAATTACTGCTAGATATAAAATTGCTGAACCTAACAAAACCAATGGGAATATGGAGACATGAAATTCCATAAATATGCTTCCCTAGGTGGTTGCATGGCTTGAGGGACAAGGGAAAGACAGCATCATACCCTTTCCCTCCAAGATGGCAGGTGACCATGTGTTCCCAGGAGAAAAGGGACAAGATAATTGTAATCCCTACCGGGAAAGGCAAGGTCCTTTAGAGCAGTTTTAATGGCTGATGGACTTGACAGCTCACATGGGGTCTGCACTGCTGCCACTTCCTCCTGCCCTTCATGGGGCTCCCCTGCTGCTGTTGCTGTGCTCTGCACTGTGCAAGTGTGGAGAGGAAAGGACAAGTCTGTCCACACCAGCACAGGGCAGTCTGACCCCAGGAATATGCTCGCTTTTTTGCTGCTGGCAAAGATTTTGAAGTTCATTTCAAAACAGTTTCTAATTGTGAAATGCAGTCTTTACAAGGGACTACAGTTGAAAATCCAAAGCAACTACCTTCAAAGCCAAGATCCCACCTTCACAGAAAGCTGCCATGAAAGAGAAAGTCTCAGTTTCCATATTCTTCTTTCTTGGAGTGGGGGCTAATCCATCTTGACCAGCTTGCTGGAGTGTGGCTGCCTGTGGTGACAGGCAGGACCTGTGGGATCCACCTCCAGGAAGCTCAGAATTGCTATCTGTAGTTTCTCTGAGACAAGGGAACAAAAACAAAAAGAGAACCCCAAAATGAAGAAAACTCTGCCCAAGCAAGACCAACAGCCCAGCCAGGCAGTAGCCCATGGGGGTGTTTGGTTCACAGGAATAGGGACTGTGACTGCATAGCTTGAATATGGTAGATATTGATACCAGGTGGTGAGTCACCTCAGCCTCACATATCTGGAATACAGCTGGGCCTCACCAGGTAATGAAGGAGTGTATGGGGTACATATCTCATCTGTCTTTGACCATCTCTGCTAACCACAGACTGTAGACCAGGTGATGGGGTAGAGGAGAAGGCAGAGATTGAGGTTATGGGCTGTCCCCAGGACGTTGTTTCCCATCTCTATTGCTGGAACCCTTCAAAGCCAGGGTCTCCCTGATGACCATTCTCTCTGTGAGGTAGCCAGGGAAGGTTTCAACACCTCCAAAGGCATGAAGTAAAATTCACTCCAGGAAGTCCCAACACTTGCTTTCTCCAACTATTTGCTTGACTTGACTGGAAGAGTAGCCATGGAAAGAAGGAGGATTTGGAGCCCAGGGCTTGGTTGCAAAACAGCTTTATTAAGTGCAAAGAAGAAAAGGAGGTGCCTCACAGAGAGCACCCAGAAGATCCACTAAGATGCAGAAGAGTTCTTGCAGGGTGTCCATCTGCCCACCCTAAGGAGGAAGAGGAAGGGCAAAAGGTTCTCTCATGTTGGTTTGGGGAGACACAGATAGCTAAAGAAAGAGATAAAGAGGAGAGAGGAGAAGGGGACAGTGGCTCAAAACTATAATTGCCATGTCCCAAAGCTCTATCTCCTGCCCAGAACCAGGTCCTGAGGTCGTGGAGGTTCTTGCCCAAGGATGTTGCCAGCAGCTTTAGCAGGGACGACATCTGCTGCCACCAAAGCAGTTGGTGATGCTGGAGATGTCAAAGCCCCCGGAGCTGATGGGCACTCCCTGAGAGCTGAGGATGCTGCCAACGGCAGCGGAGGTGGAGGATCCCACGGCGGTGTTCTGTGGGAAGGAGCTGAGGATGGGGCCAGGCAGGGTCACCACAACAGCCGAGGGCTGGATGGCCACGTGGGAATCCTGGCACTGCCTGACACAGCACTCATTGCAGCTGCTGCCCAGCGGGCAGGGGCCGCAGGGCTGGCAGCAAGGGTCGCAGGGCTTGCAGCAGGACATGGCTCGGGGTCACAGGTGCACCTGGCACAGAGGACAGGCAGGAGAAGAAAGTGGGGACACGTGAGAAGCAGCACTGCACCCAAACACCCTGCAGCCAAGGCAGCTCTTGGCTCACATTGCACTGCCTAGCTCAAAGCCCAGGAGCCACCTCAGCCAAGTGCCAGCCTCTCACTGTCTGCACAAGACCTTCTCTCCCCTGCCCTCTCCCAGCAGAAGCAACTCCCAGCCCTGTGCTCCCAAATCCTGTCTCAGCTGAGACCTACAGCCAGGAAAGAGCTACTCTTGAAACAGCAGGAGCAGGAGCAGGAGAGAAGAAGCTTCCCACTCACCTGATTCCTGAGGAGAAGGAGGTGAGAGAAGTGGATGAGAGAGCAGAGACTGGGGCTGCCTTTTATAGCAGTCCTGCTCTGCCTCAGGCCTTGTAGAACCTCTGTGGAAGTGATTATTTTGTGACAAGCTCATGGCAAATGCAAACCATCCAAGCTAATAATGGAGCTGTGCCCTGGTTTCCTGCATTACTGCTTTTTCATTTCCTGACTTCTGCCATATGCTTACTATATGAAAGGCTAATTCTGTAATTGTTGTGATGAGAAGGTCAGTGATTTCTCAGGCAGAAAATGTCAGCGCAGACAGAAGCTCTGATCAAGGGGTGATGGCATCCCTTGTGGGCAGGTCATGGTCACTTTGGTCATTTCTGATTGGGTTGTTTATGGCAAAGTTGTCAGGAAATGGGCACTGGTCTTGTGCTTCTTCACATGCCTAAGAACTGCAACATGAGGGGACATGACAGATATTTCTTTCCACCTTCCACTCTGCTTGTTCTTACCTTCTGTTCTCTATGTGTCCCCAGGCCAGTCTAGAGGGGATGTGTTGCCCTCTCTCCCTCATCTTGAGAGGCAGATGGGCACCCTGCAGGAGCTCCATTGCATGTTAGTGGCTGGCCCTGGTTCTCTCCGTGTGCCACCTCCTTTTCTTCTGTAGACTCATTAATGCTGTGCATCCCTACCTGGTCTTTCGTTCTGTGCCAACATTTCCAGTCTGTTCAGTGAAAAAAGTAGTGAAGCTGTGGGTGGGAGTCCCTGAGTGGATTTTACTTTGTGTCCTTTCCCTTGCAGCTGATGAAGACATCCCTGGCTACTCTGCAGCCAGTGGCCATCAGAGAGATCCTGGATGCAAAGAGTGGCAGCGGTAAACATGGAAAATAATCTTCACTGTGGGGGTAACAGCTCAAGACTTCATTCCTTCCTTCTTCTCCTCTCCATTACCTGGTCCATGAGCATGGTCAAGACATGACACCCTTATGACATCTGTACCTCCTTCAGTACCTGGCAGGGCCCAGCTGCTGTCCAGACATGCAGGGCTGAGGTGATTCACAAGCTGGGATCAGTGTCTGCCACAATCAGGCTGTGCAGAGAAAAGCAATGTGTACCATTTGTCAATTGCTCCTCTGAGTGTTAACATCTAAGACAGCTACAACCTCCCTTAAAATGCAATAGCACAGAACAAAATTCTTATGCCTGGGAGCACACAAAGTTGCCTATAGGATGGGTTTTGCTGTGTGGCTGAGGCCTACTCATATGTCCTGGCCAATATTTCTTGAGGGCCCATTGCCACTGGTAGATTAACTCTTCTACTATTTCACCAAGTAACTATTTTACCAATGTGAAGCACAAAAGAGAAAACTGCTCAGCTTGTCAGTTGACAGAGGGTTGTGATTCCCAAGTGACCCCGTACAGTGAGAGTGAACTGGAACTTTTGAACACCTGGAGTTGGGGTAGCTGTGAACTATCCCACCATAAAGAGAACCATGTGTGCTTTAGTTAAAGATATAAATTACACTTCACAAACATTAACAGCCCAAAGCACATAAATAACACAAGTCAGAGAAGCTGTCTTTGAAAATCGAGCAGCAATTGACTACTTGGTGTTGAGACATAATCAGGGATGTGAAGAATTTAAAGGAATGTGTTGATTCAATCTTTCCAATAACTCTGGACTAATAGAAAAGAAAGAAACAACTTAAGAATCCAGCCAGAAGTGCTAGAGAGACAGAAGGACTAGATTTCGCTTGGCTAGTTTCATGAGTGGAACAACATTCCTCAGCTTCAGATGGTTACGATGGTTAAAACAATCTGTTGTACTTATTGTGATGTGATGTGGTACTCATGACCTTAAACACTTGTTCTTTAATTCAGTGCTTACTGCTGTGCAGACTAGGTCAACATAACAACTGGCTATGACACTTTAAAGAAACGATATTAAAGTCTCAAAGGGGGGATTTGCTAACAAACCAGTTCTATTTCTTCAAGGAGTCTTTGCAGCAGTGGGGGCAGATATTAGAAAATTCTTTTGACTTTAGCACATAGTGTATGATTCCTATATTCATGGTTAATGCTTACTATTGTAGCAGACAGTGCTTATTATAAATACCAGAGATTAATGCAGCCTAATGCTTCCTCATTTACTTATATCAGTGATTAATATGCATTAGTCAATATTTTAGTTTTGTGTGTCAGAGTGAAGAATAATGGAGTAGTACTTTATGACTTGACAACATATTTGGGATACTCTCACAGAGAAAAGATTCATCAGAAGATCTGGAACCATATCCAAACAAGTCGATGGACATAATTAACATACATGCATGTATTCAATAAAGTGATGAATATGTGTTCGTTTTCAGAGTACAACCTGGTCTGTTAGGTTACTGGCCATGTTTAGAGGAGACATCCTCACGCATTCAGCTCTGCTAATAAAGTAACGTCACCTTTCTGACACAGGAAATTGGTTGGAGAGTTTATTTCCCAGTTTTCAGTGACAGCAAGGCTTTGAGCAGCCTGGTCCTTGCCCGTGGCAGGGTGGTGGGACAAGATTGTCTAACCTAAACCATTTGATGGCTCTCGATCTGTGGGCTGTCCATGGCAGACCTTGTCTTCACCAGGGTCCATCTTCCTTTGTCTGCCTTGCAGTCCCCCTTGGGCACAGGTTTGGTCAAAGGCTTCAGTCAAGAAGGCATTGATGGACAGATTACATCTATCCATACATGGGAGAAATGTGAATTAACAGTGAAGCCCAAAGTCATTTGTACAAACTCAACCAAAAGTCATTTACCACTGCGTATCCTGAATATGGCTGATACCAATCCTAACTTCTGAAATAGCTCAGCACTGCATCTTTGGACAGAGCTGGGCACTGCATGAGCTGAGGGCCCTTGTGAGATGTGCACCTCCTCTGCCTGTGCTTCTGTGTGCAGGCTGTGGACCCTAGACTGGGTAATGGAGGGGAGGAGAAGATAGAGATGAGGTTGTGGCTATTTCCAGACATTGCTGTTTCCCGGCTGTTGGGAGAAAAAGGTTAAAACTGAAAGACTTGGAGAGGAGAATGATGGATTTGCACAAAGTGACCTTTTAGGTGGGAAGGCTGAGAATAACCATGTGGGAAACGTCACATATTTACTGCTGATTATCCTCTGCCTCTTTTGAGAGCTAATATAAAAGCTATCAGAACCTTAAGAGGCATTTCTCACAGACAGTCTTGAGCCTCCTGCTGGGAGAGTGAGAGATCAAAAAACTCAAAGGTCATAAAAGCACAGCATTGTGATAAACTGCACATACATGAGACCCCTTGAGATACCGGGACAGTCAGTGACCCGCCAGGATTGGACTGACCCTAATGGTGCCACTGTTCCCATTTTATGTGTCTCTGCAGCCTGGCAGTGCCTTGGGACCTTTCCATTAATGAGGTAATGAAATAAATCTACTCTTTGCATTTCAGCTGTGGTTTGGTGACTTGGACGTATCAATTCACATCAACCCACTCCTGTGAGCCTTTGGAGCCTCGCTGTTCCTGCATTGACTGCTCAGTATCCTGGTGCATTTTCCTTAGCTACAAGGGGAAAGGGCACTAAGTAAAATTAAGTGTTGGGACTCTATCTCTTATCCTGAGCAGACAGGAAGACTTTCTGTGGAAAGAAAGAGAACTTGGAGGACAAGGCTTGGATGCAAAACAACTTTATTGAGTCTAAAGAAGAAAAGGAGGTAGCTCACAGAGAGCACCAGCAGCAGCCACTAAAATGCAGTGGAGCTTCTGCAAATTGTCCATCTGCCTGTGCTAAAGAGGGAGGGAGGACAACACATCTCCACTAGGATGGCCTGGGGAGCAAAGGAAAGAAAGAAAAATAAAAGAAGGGAACAATGCCATGAAGCTCTAAAGGAAATATCCCAAAGCTCTATCTCCTGGCCAGAGCCAGGTCCTGAGTTCTTGGAGATTCTCAACTTTCCCAAAGTTGCCAGCAGATTTAGCAGGGACGGCATCTGCTGCCACCATAGCAGTTGGTGATGCAGGAGATGTCAAAGCCCCCGGAGCTGATGGGCACTCCCTGAGAGCTGAGGATGCTGCCAACGGCAGCGGAGGTGGAGGATCCCACGGCGGTGTTCTGTGGGAAGGAGCTGAGGACGGGGCCGGGCAGGGTCACCAGCACAGCAGGCGGCTCAATGACGACATGGGAGCTCTGGCACTGCCTGACACAGCACTCATTGCAGCTGCTGCCCAGCGGGCAGGGGCCACAGGGCTGGCAGCAAGGGTCGCAGGGCTTGCAGCAGGACATGGCTCGGGGTCACAGGTGCACCTGGCACAGAGGACAGGCAGAAGCAGAAAGTGGGGACACGTGAGAAGCAGCACTGCACCCAAACACCCTGCAGCCAAGGCAGCTCTTGGCTCACATTGCACTGCCTAGCTCAAAGCCCAGGAGCCACCTCAGCCACGTGCCAGCCTCTCTCACTCTGCACAAGACCTTCTCCCCCCTGTCCTCTCCCAGCAGAAGCAACTCCCAGCCCTGTGCTCCCAAATCCTGTCTCAGCTGAGACCTACAGCCAGGAAAGAGCTGCTCTTGAAGCAGCAGGAGGCTTCCTACTCACCTGATTCCTGAGGAGAAGGAGGTGAGAGAAGTGGATGAGAGAGCAGAGACTGGGGCTGCCTTTTATAGCAGTCCTGCCCTGCCTCAGGCCCAGAGGCACCTTTGTGGAAGGCATAATTTTCTGACCAGCTCATGTCAAATGTGCACCATCCCATCTAATTGGTAGGTCTGTGTCTTGGTTTCCTGCATTGCTGCCTTTTCATTTCCTGCCTAATTTTGCATGCTTTCCTATAAGAAGGGTCATTTCTTTAAGTGCTACGATGAGAGATTCAAGGATTTCCTGGGCAAAAATGACGCTGAGTGCATTTAGAATGCTCAGAACATCGGCTTGCAGCATCTTCTGTGGACAAATGTGTTCAGCTCTTCCATTCCTGTGGGGTTTTTTTGTCCAAGTTTTCAGGAAATAGGCATCAGTCTTGTGCTTCTTTCCCACATGCCCAAGGACTGCTATGTGGGAGGATATGACACATCATTTTCTCTTGCTTTTCCCATCTCTCCATGATGGTCACTCACTGTTGCCACACAGGTCTACATCTGCAGGGAAGGCTGGATCCTGTTGCTCCTGTGACAGTGCACAGAGCAAAATTATGTTGGCCTCATTTGGCTCATTCTCTTTCTGTGCAATCTCTGTGTGTCCTCTGGGAATACCAGGAATTGTCTGGGGCCTGATCCTTCTCCAAGATACCTGAGTAATTTTCTGCCCCACTTGTCCCAAGCAGAGTTCCCAGAACATATTTCTGTGCGTTTTTGACTCTTTGCTGACTCTGTGTGAGCATATAGATCTTTGCATTATTCCATGCAGGTGTGTTTGAGCACACGTGCATCGTTCTGTGCTTGGGTGACCTTTCTGAGGACATGTGCAGGTCAGAGCAGCAGGACTCTTCCCTGGATTGTTCATGATCTCAGAGAGAAACATCTCCCCTGTGACATCAGGAATGGCACTTCATATGGAATCACGGGTTCAAGCTGGCAGACAACTGGCACTGAAGTCAGCTTCTGCCTCCTGCACTCTCCATTTCTTGCTTTAAGAAAAGGGGGAAAAGCCAAGGAAGCCTGCACACTTCTGCAGGTTGTTATCGTGCAGTGGATTCCGTTCTGGTGTAATGTTGCTGGTGACCAGGGTGGGACACAGGCTCCTCCTGTCTGGGCCAATGCCAGATGTGCTTCTACAGCTCAGCAGCCTGGTGCTGACTGAGCAGGGCTGAGACCTCCCAGCAAATGGGTCATATGGATCAAAGGAATCCATATTCAGGTGTTGCTCTGCTGTGATATGTAGGACAGTTGGCTCAACCCACATAGCATAGCTGTGTGCTGCTCCCTTCCCTTTAGTGGCTGTTGAGGGTTTGAATCTTTCCTTTTGATTCTTTTTCCTCAAGGAATTTTGTCCCATAATTTGCTTGGAAACAATAATGACTGAGTACTTAAGAAAGACAAAAGAAATGGCCAAGATCAGGGGAGGAGGGCATTTGGCTGCACTTCTCTTATCTGAGGGTTTCTGGCAGAAATGCTGAGAGGTTTGGACTGGGAAAATGGAGTTAGCTCTAGTCTCTTTCACTCTTGGCATTTGGAGGGGAGACAGGCTGTGGTGCTATGGGGAGAATTTATCACCACTGCAGGGTTTTGTCTCTGCTGCCTTTTTTCTATGGTGAGTGGAGCTCTGCTCATAAGAACAGCCATTGCACTGAGACCTTATTAACACCGTACCTCACTAAAAGAGGGACTTTTCACCATAGGCTCAGTTGTCCAGAATCCTGAGCTCGCCTACCCTGTCCTGCTCAGAGATGGGCTGCCACTGTTGGGCTCCCGCCACTTCTTTTGCACTGCTCTGGGTTTTGCTGAACTGTATCCCCACACCCCCTGCCTGCAGAGACATCCCGTGGTTCCAGCTGCAGAGCTTCTGACACATCTCGTCTACCACCCCAGGAGTTTTGCTCATTCCTGCCGTTCCAGTTTGTTGCTCCCAAGAGTCCAGCTGTGGCACTGGGATCGGCTGCCCCAGGAGATTTTTGAGGCAAAGCCTCTCTTCCATCTCTTCCTGTCTCGGCCGCCATCACCGCTTGTTCCCTGAGCCCGCGCCACAGCGCCCCCTGCAGGCGCGGGGGAATCACCGCACCCGCCCTGCCCGGCCGGGAGCCACCAGCGCCCCTGCCGGACATGCCCGGAACTGCAGCCAAGGGGAAAGCGCCTGCTGCTGAGACAAGCCTGGCCCTGGTGTCTCGTTCTGTTTGGTGCTGCTGCTGGGGTGTTGCTTGTTTGAGTTGTTACACAGACTAGAAAAGAACTGTTATTCCTATTCTCATATATGTGCCTGAAAGCCCCTTAATTTCAAAATTATAATAATTCGGAGGGAAAGGATTTGCATTTTCCATTCCAAGGGAGTGTCCTGCCTCCCTTAGAAGACACTTGTCTTTCAAACCAAGATGGTGGCCTTGCTTGGAACTTTGCTTCCAGGAGGCTTCAGCCAGGTCCAACTTCTGTTGCCACAGGAGGAAGTTTCAGGCTGAAATTCCATTACTTGGCCCTGAACAGAGTCACAGCTCCAGCTGTGACACATCTGTGCCTGTATCTGGCCATGGACCTCACCAAGTTCAATTTGGACTCTGACATATGTGTGACTTCACAGCTTGACTCGGGGCTTTCCTTACCTCTACAAGCACTCCTGGTGATTGCTGGATATTGTTGAATCTTGAATACTGTCATGAGGCCTCATCCTGACCTTGACTCACTGACTTGTCTTTCCAACTTGACTCCAAACACATGTAAGACAGAAGCTCAAGGCAGAACATGAACAGTACATCATAAAGTTTTTGCATGTTTTCAGATCTGGGACTTAACTGGGATTTTGGAGAAAGCTGGGGTAGGTTTCCTGTCTGTGGTGTACAGTGGATGTGCAGAACAGAGGGCAAAATTGCGACCCTGAACTCCATAAATGCAGACTTTTGTTGCCTTAGGGATCTGCCAGGAAGAATCCTTTGGTAAAGTGCCCTGTGGGTTCAAAAGAGTCCCAGGGAGAATGCAATATACCACGGTTCAGATCTCCAGATAATAACATTATGGAAATGACCGTAACTAGCTCCATCTGTTCAACTTGGCAGAGACATGATGTAGATCTACTAAGGACTTTAGGCTGTTGTATTTTTTTGAGAATTTATTTTCAAATCTTACAGCATAATATCTTATTTTGAGATTTTTTCAAAGTTGCATATGCCCTTTATTGAAGCCAAAATGTTTTCCTGTTGAATTTTAAATGTAATAAATTATATTTATTTTATACTCTATTAAATCAGCCTGAACTGGTTCTTTCCTTCTGAATTGTTTACTCACCTAAATTTGCTTTATACTTCCTTGAACCCCCTGTTATATGAAAAGATTTTTGCTACAGTGAGAAGGTTACAAGATCCCAAGCACTGTCCCCATGTTTTACAAAGCCAGATCCAGACAGCTAAAGAATGGACTCAGTGCTGGCCAAGCCTGAACTTCTCAGTGGCACTGGTCAAGCCTTCATGAAAACATATAAGAAAAGGCAAAACACTGCACAGGAAGTGTGGGATGAAGAAAAACAGAACCAGTGGGTTACATTAAAAATCCAGGAAACTCAAGGCTCAGAGAAGAAGATGGAGGAGGTATGTCTGGTGATGGGATGGAGATTCCGTGCAGCCCGTGGGAGGCATGATTCCTGCAGTGCATGGAAGACCCACGCCAGACCAGATTGAAATCTGCAGCAGGAGTGTGGCCCCTGGAACAGCCTTACCCAGAAGGACTGCAGCCCGTGGACAGGATTCTCATGGGAGCAGATCTTGAAAGACTTCAGGCTGTGGGATGGTGTAGCAGGGCATCTTACCCCCCATAACAGTTTATCTGTTTTTGGTTAACTGGTCAGATAACTCAAACAGGACAAGCGCTCCTGTTGAGAGTTATTTGGGTCTCATGGGCCACAGCAAGCTTCCACAAAACAGAAATCTTCTGTACATTTCATGGAAATGTGTGGAGTTTCTCCTGTGAGTAGGAACACTGCTTTGTGATTACTCCCATGGAGTTAAGTAAAGGAATATGTACAATATCATCATTTATGTGGTAAATTGCATTTAACTGCTAACCAATTCGATTTCTTTTTCTAGCTTTAGTACCTTGATATAGTGCACTGTTTTATGTTATGCTGTAATCTACTAGTAGTGCTTTAATTTAATACCTTGTAGTAAGTAATTCTGATTAAGACCTTTCATCTGCCATTTTTTGTCTGTTCATTTGTCTTAATAAATAACTCATCTTTCATAAATATATCTGATTTGCCATTGTTAGAACTTGTGGGACAAAGTGGCAAAACTTCAGCTGTTGATAGTCTAAGGCTAAGATAAGATCCAGCCCCCCCTGGACTCCTCTCTCTGAGAAGGGCTTTAGAGAACAAGGGGGGGTCTTCTTGGCACCTTGTGACTCAGTGGCCAGGCTTCTTTAATAAACTGTCTGAAACTCTCACTCCACCTGAGACAGATCAGCTCACATTGGAGCAGGGAAAAATGGGGGGAGGAAGGAAGGACAGAAAGGGACAGTTGCGTTCTTCCCTTTATGTTGAATAATTTTTATTCTGAAATCTTTCCTCTTCTCTTTCCCAGGCACTGACCAGGCACCCCCTATTGTACTTCTCCTGATGTTTCTTGCACTAGACCTCTCTGGTGGCACTCAACCTCCATATTTCTGTCTCTCCAAATTTCTTGCACAGTGAGCCTGATGGGAGTCCCTGTTAAGAAGGGGAGGTAATTTTGATCAAGTGTAGTTAAAACTTGTTTACAGACACAGTGGTATGAATGCCCAAATATTCTCCTTGAGAGGCATTTGACAATTCCTTCATGCTTGGGGATGGCTTCAAATACCTGAGCACTAATTACATGAAACATTAAAGCTTTCTAGTGGCTCTTCCCAGGGATTCTGAGGCCACCCAGGGCTCCTCCACATGAAGCAGTGTCTCAATATTGTACTCCCATGGCTGAAGAGGGTGGTGTTTCCGGAACAAGCAGACTCCCCACTGCCTGCAACTCTTGAGACTAAGGCAGCAGAAATGATGCTGGGTTCATGATACTTCAGTGATGTGCTTTGAGATCCCACTATCTCCAAATTGCTCGGTTGCACCATTGTCATGAAAAAGAAAATCTGCTTCCTGCAAGCCCTTGTCACGTGTACATTGGTTTTGGGGTCATCTTGGCCCACATGGTTCTCCAGATGACTGGCCCTTCTACACCAGAAAAGGCATCACTTAATCCAAGTCCCTTGATGTGGCCTCTGCTGATCCTGATCCGGCAGCCGCTCCCACCCTGTTGTGTGTGTCAGAGATGACCAAAGGCTGAAGAACATGTGCTGAGGAAAGTGTCCTGGTTTAAAAGAGAGCTGTTTTCCAAGGAAGGTGGGGAGGTTCCTGAAATGGAAAAATGTCACCCTCCCTCCAAATTGTTATAGCTTTGAAATTACTTTCAGGCAAAGATATGGGAAAAGGAAAGCAGTTCTTTACTAGACTATGCATATACATATATATATATATATAAACACACACATATAAAAAGACAGACAAGCAACAACAACAGCAGCAACACAAACAAGAACTAAATTCCCAGTAGTAGCCTTTTCCTACCCATGAAGCACTTCCCCCTTTGGTGTAGTTACGACCACAACCAGAAGGGAGCACTGAGCAGCTCCAGTGACTCCCTGCAGCTTCAGGGCTGTTCCGATGCAAGATCCAGACCATCCTGGTTGTGATGGTGGTTCAGATGAGGGAAAGAGAAGAAGAGTTGACTCCTCCGGCACCCATGTGAGCAGTGATCGGTCTTTGGCACCGTTAATGACAGCTGGTACATGCTGGGAAGGGAGGCAGGGCTTAATCACAATGTCGAACTACCCTACAGAGAAAAGATCCAGCAGGAGTGTTGCTCTGGCTCCAGGCAACACTTCCTGGGGTGGCTCAAGGGGAAAAGGGGGGAAGGTACAACTCCTGCCAGGCATCCAGGTGGACCATGTTGGTCTCTTAGTGTTCCTCTCTTGAAAGCAAAAGGACTCACAAGTTGGCAATAGGCAGAGCTCCATGGCAGTGTTTTAAAAAATTGTGGCACAGGAGAGGTTCAAGGCAAAGAAGCACCACATGACCATCTCTACTCCCAACCCAGCAAGGACAGAACTAACCCCAGCTAACAAACTGCCAAAACCTACACCACTTCACTTCTCCACCCCCCACTCTTTCCCCCCTCCGACACACAGAACAGTTCCCACAGTATGCCAAAGCACATGGCCATGTCTTTAGTCTCTTGATCACTGTCCATTCATCATCTCCCTGGCACCAAATTGGAAGAAAATTCCCTGAGAGAATAAAAACTCTAAAAACCTAACCCTCAACAGAAAGACTGAAAGAATGCAGTCTTTTCTCCCTGAAGAATGGCAGGCTTGGAGAGGACCTCATAACAGTATTTTAGTAATGAAATGGGATCTCCCCATGAGGTAGATGAGGACTGAGACTTTCCCAGCACAATCATAGAGTCTTGGAATCATAGAAGATGCTGAGTTGGAGGGGACCCATCAGGAGCATCATGTCCAGCTCCTGGCCCTGCACAGGACACCTCCAAGACTCCCACCAAGTACCTGAGAGTGTTGTCCAAACACTTCTTGAGCTCTGTCAGGTTTGGTGCTGAGACCACTTTCCTGGGGACCCTCTTCCAGTGCTCAGCCACCAAAAACCCTCTGGGTGAAGAACCTTTTCCTGATATACAGCCTAAACCTGGCCTACTTCAGCTCCAGCCATTTCCTCAAATTCTGTCACTGATCATGAGAGTGAAGAGTTTGGTTCTTGCCCCTCTGCTGCCCCTCGGAAGGATGTTGAATACCACAATGAGGTCTGACCTCAGTCTCATCTTCTCCTGGCTGAATGGGCCAAGTGACCTCAGCCACTCCTCATTTGATCCCTTCAGACCCTTCTCCATCCTTGTGGCCTGCCTTGGTCACTCTCTAGTAGCTCATAGTCTTTTTAATGTTGTGGTTCTCAAAAGGAGCCATGTGGAGGGGTCATACATACAGTGAAGCAGAGCTAGAGATGGTTTGGTTCTGGCAACTGAGACCAGTGCTTGGGCAACAGGTCTCACTTGGAGCAGTGTGGTTTTGGGACAGAGCAAGATGTACCAGCACCCTACGAGATGGACAAAGCCTCTGGAGATCTAGGAAGGAGGAACATGTGTGGAAGGTCACATGCATCACAGAATGCTATGAACCTGAGCTGGTATTTGGAGCACAGCAATGGCTTCAGGAGTTCGTTTTCTGCACCCAAGAGAACATGGATACCCAGGGAATGATATTTGGAAAACTGACTGGGGCTGAAGGCCAAGGACTAAAAAGAAATTTTCAAGTACAGATGAAAACATTCCTAACTGTTCCCATTAGCAGTGAAGGCACAAGTCATTTGCACAGGGAAGACGGACACCTGAAACAAAACATCAGATATTTTTGTAGATGATGGAGACTTCATGGGATGGAGACTTCACTCCATAGATTGAGAATCCTAACTTGTGACCCACCTGAGCCCTGTGTGTCTGGGCAGCAGCTGGCTCCTGCCAAGTGCTGAGGACTGTGTGAGGTTTAGGTCCCTTCTGCTTGTTCCCATGTGTGCTGGCCACAGACCCTAGGCCAGGTAATGAAGGAAGGATAGGAAGAGATGAGGTTGTGGGTTGTCCCCAGGTGGTTGTTTCCCACCCCTCCTTTGGAGCCAAAGTCTCCATGATGGCCTTTGGCTGCCAAGTAGCTCGAAGGGAAAAGGGGTCAAAGTAAAATCCACTGCAGTGAGCCCCACATATTGCTTTAGTGTTTCGTTGAGCAGACTGCAGGAGTTGCCAAAAAATAATAGACTACTCAAAGGCTGAGGCTTGAATGCAGCATAATTTTAATAAGTTCAAAGAAGATGTCTCACAGAGAGTACCAGGACCAGCCATTAAGAAGGAGCTCCGAAGTGGCGCTCTTTACACTGCTCTGCAGAGAAAGGAAAGGTGACAGGTACACACTAGACGGCCTGGTGAGAGAGGGACAGAAAAAGAGAGGACAGTAGAAGGAAGTGATGGTCCAAAGCCCAAAATACAATGCCCTGAAGCACTATCTCTTGCACAAAAACATGCTTTGAGGCCTTGGAGGCTCTTAACTGTGGATGTTGTCAGCAGATTTAGCAGGGACGACATCTGCTGCCACCAAAGCAGTTGGTGATGCAGGAGATGTCAAAGCCCCCAGAGCTGATGGGCACTCCCTGAGAGCTGAGGATGCTGCCAACGGCAGCGGAGGTGGAGGATCCCACGGCGGTGTTCTGTGGGAAGGAGCTGAGGATGGGGCCGGGCAGGGTCACCAGCACAGCAGGCGGCTCAATGACGACATGGGAGCTCTGGCACTGCCTGACACAGCACTCATTGCAGCTGCTGCCCAGCGGGCAGGGGCCGCAGGGCTGGCAGCAAGGGTCACAGGGCCGGCAGCAGGACATGGCTCGGGGTCACAGGTGCACCTGACACAGAGGACAGGCAGAAGCAGAAAGTGGGGACACGTGAGAAGCAGCACTGCACCCAAACACCCTGCAGCCAAGGCAGCTCTTGGCTCACATTGCACTGCCTAGCTCAAAGCCCAGGAGCCACCTCAGCCAAGTGCCAGCCTCTCACTGTCTGCACAAGACCTTCTCCCCCCTGCCCTCTCCCAGCAGAAGCAACTCCCAGCCCTGTGCTCCCAAATCCCATCTCAGCTGAGACTTACAGCCAGGAAAGAGCTGCTCTTGAAGCAGCAGGAGGCTTCCTACTCACCTGATTCCTGAGGAGAAGGAGGTGAGAGAAGTGGATGAGAGAGCAGAGACTGGGGCTGCCTTTTATAGCAGTCCTGCCCTGCCTCAGGCCCAGAGGCACCTTTGTGGAAGGCATAATTTTCTGACCAGCTCATGTCAAATGTGCACCATCCCAGCTAATGGTAGGGGCTGTGTCCTGGTTTCCTGCACTGCGGCCTCTATTTCCTGGCTTCTGCCGTCTGCGTTACAATCTGGAGAGTTCTGTTGAGGGCCATGATGAGAGGCCCAAGAATTTCCAGGATATAACCACGTCACACTCGGCCGAATGCTCGCATCATGCTCTGGTGGCATTCCATGCAGGCACATGACACAAACCCGTGTCATTCCTGTGGTTTTCTTTGTGGCAAAATTCTCAGGGCATCACTCTCATTCTTCCTGTATACCTGCCCATCTCTCCCTCACCTCTCGGTGACGTCCCATGAGTTTTGACGTGCAGCCTGTTTGCCTGGCCCAATCTGTAAGTGGATTAGGGACATCAGGTATCCTTTGCGGTCTGCTTTCCCCTCTAATACATGTCCCTTTGGCCAACAGTCCCTGGTGCGTTTCTGCGGCTCGTTCCTGCTCTTGCCCCGGGCTGGATT